GTCCCAGTCCCTTTCCGCGCGCGCGAGCCCCGGGTGAGCCCCGTACCTCTGTGCTTCTCTCCTGCAGCTTCTCTGGGTCTCAGTGTGCCTTTCCTTCCTTCTAGTTGTAGAGTTTACAGTCAGCCAGGCTTCCTGTGGTTCTGGATGAAGTCTGTATTGTTTCTCTGAGGTATTAATCAATTGTTGTGTGCGGCGTTAATTTCCCGGTGTTTATCTCTGCCGCCATCTTAGTTTCTCCCAGCAATAACTTCTTTAAAAAAAAATTCTCCATGGTTATGGGACAGAGAGCATGAATTCACCTGACATCAGTTCAAGTGGTTAGGGAGTTCTCCCTGAGGAAGTGACATTCAGAGACATTTGAGACCTGGATGATGAGAGAAGCCACCGTGAGAAGATCTAGGGGACAAGTGTCCAGGGAGAGGGAGAGGGAGAGGCCACAGCGTGGGAACGTGTTCGCCGTGTTGAAGGGGCAGGAGGAAGGCTAGCGAGGCTGCAGCAGGCGAGCAAGTTGGGGAGTGACACTGACAGAGGAAGAGGCTGGGGAGACGGGAGACAAATCATATTGGGCCCTGACGGGCGGGTAAGAAGTTTGAATTTTATCTGAAGAGACATGTGAACTGCTGAGGGTTACAGGAGAGTCCACGTATATTTATTAAAAACAATAATCATAGCTACCAGGGAAAACTGGATTGCAGGGTTCACAAGAATAGTTGGGGGCCCTTGAGGAGCATGGAAGAGCTCCCAGGTGAAGGTTTGGGCTTCAGTTAGTGTTTCTGGCAAAGGCAGCGGGAAAGGGGAAGTGAGCAGATCTGGGAGAGATATGTCCACGACTTGTTACGGATGAAAAGGGGGGGGGGGAAGTACAATCCCTAAGGATTTTATCTTCAATAATCTGATTAAACTTGCTGGAGCTGTGTATTGAGAAAGGGAAGACTATGTAAGAAGTAACTTGAAGGGGGTGGTTAGGAATAAAGGTTTTATGTAGAATTGAACTGATTTTTTGACATTTGTGTGGAGCTGTCAGTTTAATACAGGAGCCTGGAGTTCAGGGCCGGTCAGGGCAGGAGGTGTTTGTGTTGTTGTCATTGACACATGTGCTGCGGTAAACTCCAGGGAAGTGGAGAGAGAGAGAACACATGTGCTGCGGTAAACTCCAGGGAAGTGGAAGAGAGAGAGAGAGAGAGAGAGAGAGAGAGAGAGAGAAGATGCCAAGGGCTGAGCCCAGAGGACCAAAGGCCAATGAGTCACCAGAGGCGACTGAGAAGGGGTGCAGTGTGTTGAGGGAAACCAAGAGAAAGTGATGGAGGGCTGTGAGGGGAAGTAGATTTTTCCAGGAGGGAGTGGCCAGCTGTGGTGAGAACTGCTAGGAGGCAGGGAAGTGAGGACATGCAGAGCAGTAAGCACTGGGTTTGGTGGGTGTGATGTTCACAGACAGTGAAGTGTATGAGACAGAGCCTGAAGGGAAGCTGGGGACTCGAGAACCAGAGATGCTCACTGACCAGCGAGGAGCCATGGAGTGACCTTGAAGGCAGAGGTGACTGGTTATGAAAGCCACCCATTCCACAGCCACCGTTTATTAGTGACCAGAGCAGACAGTCACCACCTGGGGAGGAGGGTGGAGTCATCGACAAGACAAATCTGGTCCCTGCGGCATGGAGCAGCGTCACATGGGCAGTTACTGTGCACCAGGCCTGCATCTGAGTGTGTGACTCTCATAACCATCCTGTCTCACCTGCAGCAATTACAGATGTAATCGCCCATGGAATCTGATTCAGAGGTGCCATTGCCTTCACCTGAGATGTGCCCCATCCCCCACATACAGCGACCTTCCCCCACATCTTGTCACTCAGAGGCCCTGGCCCCGCCCCTGATGGAACTTGGACCCTGTGGTCCCTGCTCCAGGAGCCCCTTTCCTGCCATCTCCCTCCCGTGTGAATGTGCCAGTGGTTGGGCTGTGATGGGCACTTTGGTGAAATCTAAGCTCCAGAGCAAAGGGCGATGCCCAGTTTCATTCCTGGGTCCCGGGCAGCTGGGGCCTGGCACAAGGTCCCTGCCCAGGTGGTAACAGGAGGAGGGGGTGTGGGGAAGGGAGAGGCTGGGGGTTAGGAGGGAGGCATCTAGGAAGGGGCGGTGATGGCACAGTCCTGGCCCAGCCTGGAGCCTGGATCCCCGCGGGGCAGCCCAGTGGATGCCCAGGGGTTAAGGCTACCAGGGGTCTCCCTGCCCTGTGGCCTCCCTCCAGCCCCAGATGAGTGGTCCCGGGCGCTGGCAGAGGGTTGCCGGGTCCTGTGTCCCCACCACCTGTCACCCCGCACTGGGCGACATCGCCATCCTCTCTCACCAGCATGACGGGTCCTTCCTGTCACAGCAGTGCATTTCCTGTATCAGCCTAAGTCTGAGTGTCATTTCTCCAACGGGACGGAGCGGGTGCGGTTCCTGTACAGAGACATCTACAACGGGCAGGAGGACGTGCGTTTCGACAGCGACGTGGGGGAGTTACGCGAGCTGACCGAGCTGGGGCGGCCGGACGCTGAGGCCTGGAACAGCCAGAAGGACTACCTTGAGCGGGAGCGGGCCTATGTGAACACGCTCTGCAGAGAAAGCTACAGGGTGGCTGAGGGATTCCTGGTGCAGAGGCAAAGTGAGCGCGAGGGCAGGAATGGGGTGAAGTAGGGGGGTGGGTGCGCACACAGGGCTGTGAGGAGCACCCCTGAGGGGCCTGAGGGCGGCTGTGGGACCCTGATGTCCTATCCTGTGTATGGCGTTTCCGGGGAGCCCAGTCCTGTCCAGTGGGGGGAGGGTTTGGGGTGCAGCGGGGAGGGAGAGAGGTGGGAGGTGGGAGGAGGGAGTCAGTCTGTCCTGGCCAACCCCTCCCCAGCCGACCCTGAGACCTGGAATAGGGGTGCTGGGTGCACAAGCCTTTCCCTGGGCGGAGGGTCAGGCTGGGTGAGGAGCGGGGCCTCCGAGGCACCTCTGGCCTCTCTGAGCTCCTTTCAGGTCTCAGTGTCTTGTTCCCCCCTCAGTGCCCTGTGTTTACAGAGGGGGTGATGGGGAGCCTGGGTCTCATTGTAATTGTGTTACTTAACACACTGATGTCACACCTACACAGACTGACAGCATTTAAATCAGGGGTCCTCAAACTTTTTAAACAGGGGGCCAGTTCACTGTCCCTCAGACCGTTGGAGGGCCAGACTATAGTTTAAAAAAAAAAACTATGAACAAATTCCTATACACACTGCACGTATCTTATTTTGAAGTAAAAAAAAACAAATGTTTTCGGCAAGCCGCATGTGGCCCGCGGGCCGTAGTTTGAGGACCCCTGATTTAAGTTATTACATTAACTTTTTAGAGTTGTAGCAGTTTACCTTTCATTCTATTTTGTCTAATCTCTTTACATTACGGCGTAATCTCAGTTGAGAAATTGTTTTTTACTTTAAATTTGTCCTTCTTTGATTTCTACGTACATGTTGAACATTTTCCACATACGTGTTGGCTAATGGCTGTTCCTGCTCTAGGAATGGCCTATTGTCCGTCATCCCTGGGGTGACTGGCCTTTTTCTCAGTGATTTTCCGGGTTCTCTAGGCAGCAAGATGGACACTTTGCTAACATGGATTCAGCATTTTCTCCTGCTCCTGGCTTGTGATTTCATTCTGTTTTATTACTTTCCATGTTAGGAATTTAAACATCTTTAAGGTAATGAAATGTACTGCAAAGTTGCTAGCATTGATTCACCATCAATCTTAAATCTACCCTTTTGGCTAGTTCTCCTCCTCCTCCTCCTCCTCCTCCTCCTCCTCCTTCTCCTCTTCCTCCTTTTCTTCCTCTTCCCCTTCTACTCCTCTTCCTCCTCC